AAGCCAAAACATATTGTCATGTCTGGTGTTACATCAAAACAAGATACGGGAAATGCATAAATCTGTTTGATGTGATGTTGATATAAGTAGCAATGACATTAATTTTATTAATTACTATTTATGAGATCACATAACCTTGATTGCGACCATGAGAGGTTATCATTGATCATCGATCACCCCTTTTGACATTAGAGGACCTGATTAATAATTAAACTAACAAATGGCGGTTTCAGGTGACATTTGTGAGAATTAGTCTGGTAGGGTTGGAACAACTAATTAATCTCTCACTGCTAGTTGCAGCACCTTCTTATTTTCGTTACAAATGTCAATGTATTAACAGAAAATAGACCAGTAGTTTATCTCCTTATTTGTTTTGCGTGTTACGTTTTAAATTATTATCATTTCTTCATTTAAGTTTGTGCCCATTACAAGTCACACAAGGCGACTATAGGGATCGGATGGTCAGGTTCATGTGTCAGCTTGGTTGATACATGTCACCGTATCCTAATTGCGTAGGTGATGTTCATGTTGTTGATCATTGGAGTGTCTGGTCCAACTCGATTATACAGGTCCCCGCCATATAGCTGGAATATTGCCGAGTGCAGCGGTAAACAACAAACAAACAAACAAATTATTGAATGGGACAGTGATCGTTCTGATGTGCATGACATAAAGTGTTTCCTTATGACAACCCTAGAGTTGGAATCACATATGTTCAAAGATCCTACGGGGCATTTTGATTTTCACGTGCCTACAGAATGTTTCATTACTTTACATGTCAAATTCCATGTTTTACTTGATTTGACGTTGATCCACATCATTACGCTAAAGATTACATCCTTCACTGGCCTGGTAATTTAGATTGACAAGAGATTCAATAGAAATTCTATCGATCGAAAAACACAATCTCGAATGTGTGAAAGTCTGACAACCGGATTAGTAAGTCTCTTCAATTTTCCATTAAATACCTGACGATAATCTCCCAGAAAGCCAACGGTTCATTTTGGCATAAGTCGAACATGTGATTACAAACACTCATGTTAAGACTAAACACGGGGCTGAGCATAATCGTTCAGAGCCTCGAGGGTGAATCTTGTCATCCAGTAGTTGAGTCCTCAGTAGCCAGTTCCCTTAATTGGCATCAGCATGTTCCTCTCATTATCGACACTGTAACTACGTCGGATTGCCACTTGAAAGCTGTTATTTCTAACATATTTGTACTGACAGCTTCGCTGAGTGGCAGGCTGAAGTCTTCCATTTGACTCATTCCGAAGCTTAGAAAAAGCAATACTGAAGTGTTTCACACATTGAAATGTGTGTTTTTATTATGATATCAGAGTCGAAGGAAAGCCGGAAGTAATTGCAACGAGTTGGCAAAACCATCCAGCATGATCAGTTTACTCAGCCCACGCAAAGGAACTCCGCAAAGGTGATATCACTGTGAGACTGGGTGCATTATAAAACAATCATTTTGAAACTGGAATATGATAATTCTAGGATCTAGATATGCTTCCTTTTCACAGCATTTCAAATTAACCAAGACCTTCTTCATGCACATTTGTTTACATTGTTAGCTTGACTTGCCATACCTTGCAAACTTCCTTATTTTCTAGACCTTGTACGTATTTCATTTCTGAGAGCACATGAGACGTTTTGGAATACTAGTACACGTCACGCAGCCACAGAAGAGCCATTCAGCAAATTAGTTAGATCTCTGTTATAATTGGTCTTTGGAAAGCCATGCTTGTGGTAAACAGCTCCTGGCGGGATCAGGTGTGTCATCGTATCCCAGTTGCGTAGATCGATGCTCATGATATTGATCACCGGATTGTCCGGTCAAGACTACAAAATAGCTGGACCATTGCTGCCGTGTTAAACAACAAACAAACCAAATTCGAAATATATGCAGTGTGCTCATTGTATCTGTGTTTGGCAGAGTTACTAATCTTCCTACAAGTTGTCGAGTTTGGTATTTGTTACCACGGTGGCCCGTGCGTTCATATTCGAACAATCACTACTGTTAAGACGCTGCTGTACATCTGTTGTGACAATAGCGACAAGATACAACGATTCTGGAGCAAATCCAAACCCGACTGAAAGTTGACTACAATCTTCAATAAGGCAAATTCTCACACTTTCGGTTTACAGAAATACAGTTACTGTAGCTTCTCAACACTACTAAGAATTGAATTGCAGAACATGTACACACCATAATCACATACTTTATGTAATATTTTTGTCATGCCCATACTATATTTCATCTTGAATTAATGCTTCATAAATATTTTGATGTGTGATATGATGCACCAAGCAAAGCATAACATTTTTGTTTTGTGTGTAAATGTGTGATGAAAAGAGTAACTCATTTCCGACATCTAGCCTTGACCTAAGACGTTCTGACTATACTGCTATACATAAACACTCCCGTCGCCTAATAACTGCAAACAGGCGTTAAACTGGCAGATCCCTCTGGTAAATATAATCACCGCCTTTAACAACGTGTATGTGGTTTTCGACGGCATTCTTCATTGGTCGGAAAGTAAAACATCCAACAGTTTCTGTTATGTTGCCGACACAGACGGTGTTAATGACAGGAAAGCTCGGTTCATGTAATGGATATAGTCTATTTACATCATTACACTACACAAAGCTGGAAAACCAGACAGCCATTATCGCTGTACTGACGCCTGTGGTCAAAGGGCGGACATGGATGTTAAACTACATATCCTCCATGTGGGGAAGTTATAAATTATATGACTGACACCTGTCAGAGATCATCACTAACTGACGACGTGACAAAGGCTGATATTATTGTTGTTACAATTACAAAGACAAGATTTTTCTGTCTTGGCAAATTTCAAAACGTTTAATAATTGGTACAATATTTCAAGTACTTGATGGAGACCCTGGTCGTGGTCACAGGTACAGGTGCATGTTTTAATGATTTGAACAAGGAGGTTGATTATTAAGTTGATGCACATATTTCAGCATATTCCTATAATAAACAAATTCCCGCGATTAAAAAGTCATTCGTGATAGTGTGCAGACAGAAATTCCAATTAAATTAAAATATAGGATTGCGATATAATTATAAGGAATGGATCAGTCAGGACACCGGGTCTTTGTGCAAAAGGAAGCAAGTGTCCGCTCTTCCGGAGACAAATCCAATGAGCACAGATTATGCCTCACTGCAATGGAATAGGAATTCCGAGTTGAGTGAGTGAGTGAGATTAGTTTTACGCTACGTTTAGCAATATTCCAGCAATATCACGGCAAGACACCAGAAATGGGCTTCACACATTGTACCCATGTGGGGAATCGAACCGGGTTTTCAGCGTGACGAGCGAACGCTTCAACCACTAGGCTACACCACCACCCCCTCCGAGTTAGAACACGACGGGTGGCTGAATGAATCTGTAGTCCAACATTTGACCAGATTAGGTCTGGTCATACAATACCCATGTCAATGTGTCCCCAAAGTTCTAGCCTTTTCCGACCTGTGTTATTTGCATCCCGTAAATGCCGACCTCTGATGATAACACTGGTACACTGTTCAAGCGGAGTACAACCTCACTCACTCACTGACGTTGGGTAAAAAGTCATAACGATGTCCTCACACACGTTACTGTTTTGAAACTGACAGAATTGACGCACTATTTATGCTATAATATTAGTCATCTGTGTTCAGACAGATGACTTGACCCTGTCTCAAAGTGAAAAATTCCCACAGTTTTTTACATACTATTTAAGATTATCTAAATATTTTCATTTCATAAAAAAGAGGCTCAATTCGGAATTTTCAACGCGAGCAAAGCTTTATCCCGATTGAGGATGAGAGATGAGATGTGTTTTAACTTCTCGTTCAAAATCCCTTTTCAATCTCTTAAGGTATTTCAGTGGACATGGGTAGGTTATTGACTATGGACAGCCGATCAGTATGAAGGTAGCATATGGCAAAACAAAGGATCATTGTTTCAGATTTGATAGTTGTTCAATGATCAGTAACCAGATCTTCAGAAAACACAACTCGGCTTTCATGTTAGGTCATCATAATGATTCAGGACCCGTGAAGACCCTGTATAGAATTGGTCTTCAGGAACCCATGCTTGTCATAAGAGGCAAATAAAGGGTTCTGGTAGTCAGGTTCGCTGACTTGGTTGACACATGCCATTGTTTCCCAACTGCTTAGAACGATGCTGATGATGTTAATCACTGGATTGTCTGGTCCAGACTCGATTAATTACAGACCGCCACCACATAGCTGGAATATTGCTGAGTGCGGCGTTAAACAATCAACCAACCATAATGATTCAGGAAACGGTTCACAGAAAGAAACATACGAAACGAAAATAATCTGAAAACTCCATCTTTAATGGGTGGTACACAATAACGTACAGCGACATTTTCTGAAATGTTATGCATTAATTTACACTGTCCTGAGTAAAATATTGCCGATGCGATGTAACATTTTAACTCAATCACTGTCCTGAGTAAAGCCCATAACCTTACTTCTACTAAATCATTTAAGACAGGTTTAAATCAGTTTAAAATCTACTCACAGGATGGGAAAGTAGAAAAGAAGATTTACATGTTTGAAATAGTAGGTGCTTTGACTTTGACTCAGCACCTCAAGAACATTGACTTTATGTTAAGGCTGATGCACTGAATTTAGGACGACTTAGCTAATGAAGTATTGAATCAATTGTCAGTTACATTGATTCCCAGACGAACAAAACTGAACATATGTTACGTCTGAGACCTTGAAAAGCCATTAGATTTCTTAACATTGGCGTTTCAAGCGGATAAACGTCTTTGTTGACTAGAGAAAACAGAGATACTTTTTTCAAATCGGACAAAATTAGCATTTTCTTTTCAACTCTTGACAAGGGGAGATCTTTAAAGCATCTCAGAAAATGCAATTTCAAACACACCAATGTCACTTGTGTCTCACTACAGGTCATGTCATAGATAGTGAACTAGGGTCCATTTAGCAAAGGCACTGTAAGTCCCCATGGCCCCTAACATGGTGATCTACCTTCAGTTAATGGCGATCTATAGCCCGTTTTTATATTGTATAGCACTGTTTAGAAATCCACTTTTAGAGTTAGATGCTTGTTTTATATTCTGGTTCTGTGATGTGCTAGTGATTTTTGCTGTCCTTTGTCCACAGTTTGTTAATTTAAATTTTGTTTTAGTCACGATATGGATGAAATACTACCGATGTGACTTTAAATTTTAACTCACTCACTCATTCATGAATAGTAACCCGGCACGGTGAGCTGTGCTTCTGTGAGGTTCTGTTTCACAGGATATAACGCATGTGATGACGCCTTCGCGGTGGTTCCTGACATTTGAATGAAAACCTCCTAGCAAAGTCCTTAGAGACAGCTGGAGTCGTGCACAACACTGCTATCCGAAGTAAAAGATGGTGTTTGAAAGAGCAAGTCAAATTCAATCCATTGTTTCTTCACAATGTCACAACGCATAATTTCATAGATTCTCGACAGGTAATTATAAATAATGCTCGGTATCATATCGGCAATACCAACCGATACCCTCAAGTAAAGCAACATATATGTCTGTGCTATAATTTAATGACACCCCCTTTTTTTATCAACATCCCTCTTTGTGCTATCAACGACTGATATCACAGCAATTTGAGTACGCGTGACATACCGAATGCTTCCTGCAGACAAGCTGGATTCTGCGCAAACGTAAATAGACAGTTTGTGCATAATGCAGATGCAGTGTTTCTCGATCAAACAGTATTGTACATACAGCTCTTGGGTGGCTGACCATCCCCAGACCGTCATCACAGTTTTGATTTGGTTACTATAAATAAATACAGGTACCTCATTCTGAGCCAGCATGAAGACACCGTCTATGTCGGACAAATGTCTGGTTGTACTGTAATCCAAAAGGAAGTCAATTTCCTTTCACGGTGCGCCATTGGCTTGTAATTGATTTGAGATTTGGGGAAGGTCATGTCTTGAATTTTCGAATGTAAATTGGATGACTAAAAGCGGGAAGTCAATACAGTTCACGCAGCAGAATACATTCTCGCAGATGATCGTAAAGAAGACAACGTGCCCAAAATGTAAAACAAAATGTCATACATGTTTACTGGATTCGTCCCCCTCTAAGCCTTTTACCTTGTACAGAATGGTTGTTTTGATATACTTGACTTCATGATTAGCGTAATCGCACAGCTCTTGGTATTTTCACATGCGTCATCTGCACTTGTCTCTTTGTATCCAATACATAAATCAAAACAAAACTTGTATAAACACATGTTCATCTAGTCTGCCAGGATTGGGTCTGGTTTTCTCATATATTACAACAAATCAAGTTCCATGGAAAACATCTAGTAACTTGAATATTATGAATTTTATGCTGAAAATATGTTAAGATCTAACTATTAGGCATAATAGGAACAATTAGATGAAACAAAAATTACATTTACTTCCTCAAAACAAATATTCTTCATATTCTAATTAACGAGAACAGTTTGCTATCAAGATAATAAAAGCGGAAGCGCGCCATAAAGCTCCACTGTCTATTCTCCTTCGTAGAAAAAAGTTCTCATGGGAACTGAAGTAGAGAAAATGTCCCGTTGATGGATGATGTAAGTGACTAATGACTACAGTGAATGAACCTCTCAGCTGGAATCCCTGACGAAATTATGCGCTCTCGTTTTTTGTGCTTCCAATCTCTGTGAGAACGTAGAATAAAGGGCTTTTCTTTGGTTATGGACACAAATCTTATAGTGGATTCGGGTTTTCTCTGTGTTCAAACATTACACCTCTCGTATGTTTTCATTTAAGGTACTTTACAAATAATAGCTACAAAAACCATATCAATTAAAAAACAAATATCTGCTAAAAGCAGAAACCATCTTATGATTCCTACTAGCTCATTGTGATGTGTTACTGAATCATTTTCAAAAATCTGCGGGTCGCGAAAAGGTAAACATACCCCTTTCTCCGATTGCGCACGTCATGAACACATGCAACGTCAAGTCAATTCATTTAAAGCGGATGTTACGTTAAATTACATGCCTTTGATCGTTACCATCAGATTAGCTTTCCGTACACAACTTGCGAATATAGCAACATTCCAGCCATATGGCGGCGGTGTGTAAATAACCGAGTCTGGACCAGAAAAACCAGCGACCAACAGCATGATCATCGATCTACGCAACTGGGATACGATGACATGTGTCAACCAACTCATCGAGCCTCACCACCCGATCCCGTTAGTCGCCTCTTGCGACGAGCATGGGTTACTGAAGACCAATTCTAACCCGGATCTTCACGGGTCACCGAAGAAGTGTGACGTTATGTTTCAATTGATTCTCAAAAATGATAATATTGTAATGAGGTGGGCAAGTTGTTTGTCGGATGTTCGCAAAAGGAGTAAGCATGCCAAACTGCCACACTTTCTACAGAAAAGAGCATGCTTGATGCAACATTACTCCGGGCATGTGGCTACGGCATAAAAACCAACCAGCCAACGTTTTCTGAATATTGATGTGGTTAATTCAAATATTTTATTTCATTAATGACTAACCTGTCAATGGTTGATGGACTGATGATTTAGTCCATGGGATATGTTTCTGATGTGGGTCAAAGACTGACTGAGTTTGGTTTTACGCCGCTTTTAGCAATATTCCAGCAACATCACGGCGGGGACACCAGAAATGGGCTTCACACATTGTACCTATGAGGGGATTCGAACCCGGGTCTTCGGCGTGAAGAGCCAACGCTTTAACCACTAGGCTACCCCACCGCCCCTGTGGGTCAAAGAGAATGTGTAATATATTTGTGTAAGTGTAAAACAGCTCCATGGTTACACCAGATGCCAGATACCCAAAACTCGTTATAACTTTCAGTCTTTCATTGTCATGACAATGACGATGACAACTTTTATTCAACGCTATAAAATGAAATAACAAAATCAGTGGTGCTACTGATCTTATGATGAACCTCGGCGACTTCAGTCCACAGCAGGAACATCGAACCAGTGCAAAAGAATACTCAGTCATGACTATCCTCAGAAAATCCCGGTGACACGTGACTCTACTTATATATTTGAAGGGAGTTGTCTGATCCATGATGCAGACAATTTCTGAAATGAATATACGTCCATTACGCATCCAGTCTGCAGGTGGCGGAGGGCTTTTCAACAAGTCTACCACAATGATGGATCGTGACTTACCTCTGAAATCCATGCTTGCAAACACTTACCAATTCAGCTGGTGACTTGAGTAATCAATTTACGTCGAACCACTGCTTTGGAACTGTTCTGCTTGATCAAAAACTTCGTCAATTTCCTCCACTCCACGTCTAGTTTCATTCTGAAATATCCATTTGAGGGGGTTTTGAAGGAACGAAAATCAATATTTTGTTGGGCTTTACATCCGATTGTTGGATGTATTTATCAGAGATGACATTTGAATCTTCCTGCTTTATTCAGTGCATGTTTTCTATGTGGCATATTTCAGCCTCGTCAGATCTCTGTAAGGTATAATAAGTAATATTACGTCTGTTTCTTTCGTTACACAGTATTTTACAATTTTCGTCAATAGTCTTCGTTTACGTGGTTTCAGTGTATGACATCAATAGAAAATTGTTAAGAGCATAACACTCATTGAACATAGAAAGGGAAACAATTGAAAGGCAAGATTATTTCTGTATTTCACAAAACTACAGAAATATTTGTATTTGTTACATACATTGCACTTGTTTCGCAAAACTGGCTTTTGATGACGTCACAATTGTTTTCCGTTTGTAAGGGTTTTGAGTGAGTTTACTGCGGGATATCAAGAACAGCAGCGAGTCCAATCCCGTTTTTCTGTCCGTATCTATACCGGTTATACACTCATATGTATGTTGCATTATGGCCACAAAGGTCATGCACTGTTATAGTCTGTCGATGGACGTACATTACTATCTGGTCCCATGAGAAGACAGAATCAAGCATTGTGATCGCTACAGTCATTTCAGGCAACCTTCCTTGAGTGGTTGGAAAAGGCTTATTAACCATGAGGTTTGTCTGTTGCGAAACTTACACAAACACAATAGAAATATTGCCAAGAATATACTGTTTATGAGGAAATAGAAATGGACTCAACATTGAGACGTGTGAAAGTTGTTTGATTCAACTCCGGCTCTTGTTACAAATGATATCGTCTTTACAAATAACGCGCGTAAGGTCAAAAAAGTGTTATTTTTTAACAGACTCAACTTAACGTATATTGGTAAATCTTTTTATGTTTCATCAACACTTTTCATAATACCCGGTGTTAACCTTTTTAGACCGCCCGTGGTTCATGTAGACAAAAGTATTTCCGTTTATAGGAAAATAGCTCAAATACACATGCTTGCCACTATCTTGTAGGTTCTCGACACTCGACATTCATATATGTAGAACATGTACACACCTTATAAGCACATACCTCATGTACTATTTAACACGTGGATCATAATTCTTCAGCCTGTGATATGCACGTTGTTAAACTGGCAGTTCCCTCTCTTGCATATGATATATATGTATTTAATGAGAGCCTCCATATACACTTGTACACACACAATCACACACCCAAACTGGAAACCTTGCACTGAAACTGAATTCTGTGTATTGTAGCGCATATACAGTTGAGACAATTAAACATCAACACTAAGTTTTATCTACACCCCCAACACGGATAGATCGCCAATATCTAGCATATTACTGATATTACAAATTCAGCAAAATATTTGTACTTTGTACACATGATGGAATGTACGTTAAGCTGTAATACTGCCTGTGCACAATGCTTCTACATACAGGCCTGGGACCTAGGGCATAGACACTTGACGTGAATCTAATCATCTTGGTTATCACTGTCAAGAAGGTTTTTGATTATATTGATCATATGTCAGTCATTCCTCACTCTATATAATATACCACACACAGACGGTATTAATGACAAAATAGCTCGGCTCAGTAGATGTATATGATTTATTTACACCATCACACTCCACCAAACTGATAAATCGGATCGACTACAGACAGCCATTATCGCTGCATTGACGCATACGGTCAAAGGGCAGGTGTGGGTGTTAG